GACGAAACATTGGGTCTAAAATATGAAAACATTAATTCTCTTAATTAGTCAGGATGACAAAGGGATAATAGATCAGCCAGTCATATTGATCTACGCTCAGCTCCAGTAGTAAACACGAGAAATTATGAACAAACAGAATCTCACTTATAACATCTGGCCAAGAATGTAGTCAGATGCAACCCTAGAATACTTTTATAATCATAATTTAGTTGTTCATTTAGTGTCTAATAATTTGCTGGGTAAACTTTTCAAACAATAGGCGTGCATGATATTGAGTGAGAATGATGATAGCCTTAGTGATGAAGAGTGTTTTTTCAACATACACGCGTCACTTATTTCACGACAGAAATTAAGCTTTTATACATGCGACATAGGAAAAATGATGAAAAACAGTCACAGGCAAGAAAGCCGTAGGGATGCTGTAGTGTCCGAAGGTGATTAGGTTCACCGGTAAACCTTCCAACGCTTCCATTATTGCATGCCAGAGAAAACTTCGATTACGCTGTTGTAAATTTTGCCCATCAGGACGCCGCAATAAGGGAATCAAACATAATGAAGTGGCTTTCTAAACCAAAGAAGAAGTCGTATATAAGTTGTTTAACCTTGTTTTCGCAACTTAGTTGCAGTCAGGGCGACCTGGAGAGACGCACATTGTCAGTAGTCCATACTACCCAAGATAATTTCCAGAGTCGAATTGCGGACTTAGAATCATTCCAGACGTTTCGTTAGCACTGTTAATAAGCTTTACTATTCTTGGCACCACACTACAACTCGTCAGAGACAAGTGAAGTCGAACCCTTGACCAGATGTATGTTAATCAGCTATGGTATCTCTCCTGCCATAAGGTATATCCTTATCCTATATTCTCATATCATCCCTTCACGAATGGGGAAGAATTCCCCTGACGTAAATATCACAGCAAGAATACAAAAGTACAAGATAATTAGATCTAGAGCATCTGAAGATTTTTCAAGGGAAACTATAGCCCAAGAATGTAAGAATCTCTTCAAGCAATATGTCTAGACATCAATTATACACCAATTTGCAAATCTTTTTTCGAAGACAAACAGGATAGCAACTTCAGGACTTTATTAGGGATAGCAAGTTATAGTTTTTATCATTGAGTATTCTAATATAGCAATATTGACCAAGATCAGTAGTAATTCGAGAGTAAAAATACCTGCTATCTTTCCTGTTTACCATTCCATTGGTTATCACCTATTCATAGCAGACTTCCTAGCAGGATAAACGTCATATCGCCTAAGGGGACAAATTGAGGGAGAAACCCGCGTGCATGGATTTCTAGTTGATCACCCCCTAAAATTAGTCATTATATTTTAAACTAGGACATACAAGGCGGGACAACCGCCCATTCAAAAACGCTAGTATTGTGTTTTTGGTAAATAGCGAACAAATGCAATCCATGTTGTAATGAGTTTGGAAAAAAAACGGTTTTTTACATATAACCATCGGTAATAGGATACTATTAGCAAAGACGCTTAAGTGGAAAAAACAATTAAAAAAATATTAAAAATTTTGATTAATACTTTGTGGTAAATAGAGATTTTACTAGTCTATATTATATAAACATAGAAAAGCTGTCAGATAGAGTGATTTAGTAAATGAGATTCATGGGATCTATCATTAAATAGTGCAACTAAGAAAACCAGACTCACCAATATGATGGAGGAGTTGGTTTAGTGACCGCATCATTCGACGGCGATCTGGTGTCAGGAAGTAATGCAGAAACGTTCTCGGGGTAACCGGGTAGAGCAAGAAGTCCAGCAATAGTCTCGGGTGCTACCCAAGCCTCAAGGCTTGGTAAGAGGCAGCCAATTGGATCTAAATCAGTCTCAGGGCCTCCATCTAACGGCACAAGCTCGCAGCCGGCCCATGGAGGACTTAACCTGATACCCGTGACGCCAGAAGTAGCACCAGATACAATGGTAGAAGGTAGAGAAGAATTGTGGGGAGTGTAAGTGTCAGAATAAGCCTCAGGAACTGTTGTAGCCGAATTCCCCAAAAGACAAGACGAACGGTATTGTGAATTGACAATGCTGGAAGATCTGGAGCCAGAACGCACCTCAAATAGACGCACCTGCCAGGCAGAAGGGTTTGAGGGCAATTTCAATCCTTGCAGAGGCTGTAGAGCTTTATAAGCCTTAGAGGATTGGGCAAAGCTGAGAGTGATAATGGGTTTAGGAAATAGAAAAAAGTGTAGAAAGGCACAATATTAATGCAAAAGCTGTTTGAGACTGTCGAAAAAAGAATCATACAAATAAACCTAAATCAAAAAGTTTCATTTAATGATGTGGGCTTCAAAGCAACAGCACTAGTTTACTAAATATAAATATGTATATATATAATATGGTCCAAAAGTCTGAACCAACCCTAAAGAACTGTGCCTATTTCATCAGATAAAAAAAACAAGTACAAATCTTTACAGAGTTGAAAATTTTTAAACAAGATTCCATTATTTTTTATTAATACGTTAGTGAAATAATATAGGTTAACTAATATAAAACACAGGATATGGTAGACAGTCTAGTGGAAAGAATGGACAAGATTGACATATGTCTACATGATAAAAAATTAAGGAATTTAGCTATTAAAATCGACTCAAGGAATAGTCTAAACAATAAGGATGTAGTCAAACCTAGGAGGATATTTGCTCTAGCAAAAAGAAAGTGTTAAGCTCCTCTTTAAAAGTGGCATAAACTTTTCCTTTTCAAATGAACAGAATAATTTTATGGAGATACTGGTTGTATTAATTAACTTAGCAGAGAAGCTGCCAGAATAGTAAAGAAAGAGACGTGATTCCTAATTTTGACAAGGTAATTATACTAAATAAATCTTATCACTTGAACAATATTTCTAGATATTTGAACCAAAATGATATGTTTGTATTGAAGGCAGATAAAGGTGGTGCAGTTGTCATCATGGATAGGTACGTTTTATAGAAAAAGTGATGATTCATTTAAATGACATACAGACATTTAGTGAAGGATCCCACAGAGTCGTCAGGCCAGACTTAGGGATTCGCTTAAAGTTTGCATATTCAAAGGAGAAATTTAGAAGTGAAAAATGAATTCACTTTTTAAAGGGATGATAGGATACCTGCTTATGGCCTTCCAAAGATACACAAGGAGGGAGTCCATTTAGGATTGATTTTTATTAATAGGGGAAGTTTGATGCATATTTCGCGTATTTCGCGATTATTATGCAGACAATTAAGGAAAGTGGTTAAGTTTTGGAAACAACCAGTGAGAAATTCAAATGTTAGATTGATAGATCAACACAGAATTAGCGAGGATGACATTTTAGTGAATTCCGACGTGGTATAAATGTATAATGACATTCCAGTTCAGAAGGATGTTGAATCACAGGCATCAAACATGGATGAACACTCGGATATTATTGAGGGAGCAAATCGGAACAAAAGCTTAATCTTAAAGTTACTTAATCTATCCATGAGTAACAGGTACTTCACCTTTAATAATAAGCGTTATAAAGAGGTGCAAGGTCTGGCAATGGGATCTTGTTTGGCTCCAATTTTAGCGAATAATTGCATATCAAGGCCGGATGAACGCTTTATGGAAGAGGTAAGATTGATACCAAAACTGTTAGTTAGATATATGGATGACTACTTTGAAATATGGCAGTATAGTAAGGATAGTTTAGATAATTTATAGTTTTTAATTAACCGGATTGATTGAAATGCTAAGTTGACAAAAGAGCTAGAGGACAATAATCTACCTTTTCTGGATTTTGTATTTATTAGAGCGGGTGAGATGTCAAGAAAAGATGTATATATAAATCTAACATACACATCTCAAACCATAGTTACAAGACAAAGGTTGGCGCTTTAAGGAGCATAAGACCAGCCGATAGAGACCGTTGTGATAAATAACTGGATCGAATCAAGCGAATATTACTTGTGAATAAGTATCCCCTAGGTCTGATTGAAAATAAAATTAGATTAATAAAGAATTCCTTAGTTAATGGTGAGTGCGTAAGGAAATATAAGTTGAATTTTCCATTTGTTTTATCTTTGCCTCCATATATTCTCTCTAAAAATATATGCGAACTAGTAAGGAAGTGAGGAATAAAAACGGTTATCTGGGAAACTACGACACTCTTCAATTAAGCCTATTTTAAGAAAGAAGTTAGACCGATTATATAGATCTGGTTGCCACGAAATACTGTTATAATACGGTCGGTTTTATAATGAGCAGATCTCTGGCTCCATTCGAGAAAGAGTTGCTGAACACAAAAGCGCCTGTAGAGAATGTTAGGTTCAAAAATCAGAGCTTGCTAAGAAAAAGGCAGAAACTATACATGAATTTGAATTGTTTTTAAGCTTCTCATTTTGCTGATTGTGGTATGTCTACAGCTAAACTAAAAATGTGAGAAGTCATCGAAATAAACGGAACAGTGAGTACATTGGATGTAAAGAATATCGGCAAGAAGTTAAACAAAAACTACTCGTACTTAATTAATACACTCAGGGAGAGGGCAATGAGTCGCCTGCAAAAAGGACGCGATACAACTAGTCTTTTCTTTTCGTCTTGGTTCTAACCACAGTCACTTGTATGTACTTTTAGCCCAGTCTTTCTCTCTTACACAAAGACAAAATGTTCATCAAAATAATCAGACGTGTTTCCGACCTTGCGCAATCGGAGTGATAATTAAAATATGTGATTGCTGAGAGCATACGTTACTTCTTTTATAATTTCTTTGTGTCATCGCTGCTGGTTTCGTACATATCCGAACGCATGCAAGCCCATACACACAAACACACACATACTCAAATGTCTTGAAGTTTACATATGGTTTGAACTAACCAATTTACTGTGTACTTCATCGAAGGGTTTAGACATAGAAAATATATACATCATTTAGGGATGGGCCAGTGAGTCTTCTGAACTCGTTAGATTGAATATGATTGTAAGGATGATACACTGCTCTGATGACGTCTGTCATACAACAGCCGAAAGCTTGGCACGTTATCACCTGAATCGAAAAAGCTTGCATCGAAAACAGCTACAAAAAGAATGTTCCAGTAAAGCCAATCGACAGTTGGTCAAGAAGAATCTGCAGTCATCTTCTGGCGGGATCAACCTTCACATCTTTTCACCAAACACTTTCACACGAAATGAGAGTAAGCTCGATAATCCATATCATTCGAGCATCCTTTTAGAAAATCCCAATGTCTTGGAATATTGTTATCATTCCCTTTTACTATTTTTAAGTGTTAGATAACCTATTTAATAGGGTTGAAATCTAGTTACTGTGGCGGATGGAAAGCCATACAAACCAGCAATTATTTTTCCTTCTACTTCAAATAGGCCTGACACAACTACGATGCATGTCTAGGATGGTTTTTCTGCTGGAAAACGAATTTTATTCCACACAATTTTGAGTAGGAGATGATAAAATGCAGCTATTCTGCACAATTCTTGTTTAAAAATATCAACAGAGTAAAAATGTGTACTAATTTCCTATAGATGATGGAATGAACACAGTTCTTGAGGGTAAGCTCAGACTTTTGGACCACACTATATATATACATATATAACCCTGCTATGCATCTAATTGTGTAGTCTGACTTCAAAAAAGTTTAAAAGACATTGTAAATGACAGAAAATAAGCCCATTAAAAGGACTTTAATTTGGAATATCTCAGAACTAAAGATTACTTAAATAGTTACCAATCTTTGCTGATTGTCATATTCAGCCTCATTTTCGAAAGGCAGCGCAGTAAAAAACGTTGCTTCAATCGGCCAAGTGGTTCATTGGCCTGCACAACAAGCAAGTCACCGGCGTCCAAGTGGCCCTGGGTATCCGTAAATGCGTCGGCTATCAAAGCGGACGATGTCCAGCGATTGCTGCTATCTCCGGCAACAAAATAATGAACACGGAGGAATAAAGAAACACCACACCAGGCGCGGCTAAGAGGCTCATTCATAGCAGGTAAATCATCATAAATTGACGGAGAAGACTGATGCTGCTGTTTACTTGGATTGCGAACTTGCTCCTTCATATGAGATGGAAGATACTGAAATCCGTCTGCCTCAGAACGACATATGAAACGACGAAGGGCGTGAAGCAGACGTACCATTCGGTCTACATGTTCGGCCAATGCCGAATCCCTTGAATCTTCCAGAATCTGGGGAGACTGGACTGCAGCGATAGCTTCACGAGTAGCTGTTTCTAGCCTCTCGAAGCAACTTGTCAGAAAATCGGCATTGATACGGCTCCGACTGCTGACAAGTTGAGGACCGAGCTGTGTGTATAACGTCTCTAAGATGGAGAGAGCTAACTGAGCTACAGGTGGCCGGTTAGGTGCTTGCAGTACAAGACGCCAAAGGAAGTCAAGACCAACCAGATTGGGTCGATCCATTCGAATCGCGAGTTGGCCATCAGTATCAGACGTCTCCAAAAGAAGCTTTTTGAATATGTTCACCTGGCGGAAGTACTTGGCAAATAGCCTAAATTAGTAGAAAACCAAAATACTTATAGCATCTATAAATAAATGAATAAATACAAATATAAATAGATATTTGATTAGCCCTTTATAGAAGAAAATGCCATGAATAAAGTTAACTGGATAAGCTTACTTGCAAGCATAAGGAATAAAGCAAAGATTTTCACATTCTTAGGCATGAAAAAATAAGCCAGATCATGTACAATAAAGTCAAAATGTAAGAGATTATAAAGTAAAGCGCCTCGTAAGCGTAGGAAGATTAACTAAAGTAAAATAAGGGCAAATATGGATAGCTCATGAGGAAGTAAACTTCCAGTTGAGATACTGCTTACAGAAAAACGAATAATAAAAAACACATAATAAAGTATTTTTGCCAATTTAGGTACGAATCGGAAAAATATGATAGTATGTCGGGAAGATTTCTTTAAGGGTCAAGGTTATAGCCTTACAAAATCGCATATTCGGGCATATAGTTAAATTTAAAGTCAGACCTCTGGAAGTTATTAAGTAAAATAATATTATCTCCATTCCGCTTACGCCATGCCAGACGGGGTCATCTGCCGTGGATCAATATCAAGGATATTGGGGAACAGAGCCTCAACTTCTTCACTGTACAAATCTTCTGAAGACGCGCCAAACCATTTAAAACAAGCCTCTCGGTCTTCAGGAAGCACGAGACGAACTTCATCCTCCATTTCATCTGTATACTGAAAGGGCTCCTCCTTTTCTTCTGCATTAAACACATACTCTTCCTGGTATGAATCTCCCCTTTCTGGCTTTATCTGATCAAGGACGGTAAAGACTTGCATATCATCTACATCTTTATATTCTACCAGCTCCTCTTCAATATGAA